TAAGAAACTTAGTCAGAGGTAATAAATGTGTTGTGTCTCAGATCACAATCGAACCAGCAACTTTTGCTTGTTAAGCAAATGTGTTAAACTCAGTTAATAAAAACAAAGCTTTACTGTTGATGAAGCTCAATTTAAATGAGTGATTGAAACTGCAGCTTTAGAAAATATTTCACTAAAAGGTTTAATTCCAAAAATTCTACTTCATGGCTATAACTTCCGCTCTATGAGTGTGTAGCTAGCATCTCATTGGGGTCAGGCTGTGACCCCATTGTTGTGCGTGTTTGCTCCTTGCTCCTGCTAACTCTGGATTCTGCAAAAGACTTAAAACAAGAAAACAAGTCATGCTTGGTGAATGCAAACTTCTTGTGAGCTTTCAGCATGCATGTGGGTGTTTCCCCTCATAGCAGACTGCTTCGTAAACAAAGTGTTGTTTGTCTGTCTCTCAGAGAAGCACTATCTGACAGAGCTGCAGCAGCTGGGCCTGCTCTCCTACACGCCATCCAGAGAGGTCCAAGGCAAGAGAATCAGCTCGTATGATGACAGGTACAAGACACTGAGATATTGTTTTGTTTACACAACCCATCGCATTTCATATGGTTTTGTTGCTGTACACACTCCAGTCTATCTGGATACAGTTCAGATAAGCCAAAAACTGATACCCATGTCTTTGTGTTTATGCAGAATGATACTGCAGCACGCACAGAAGACAGGCGGAGTGATCGTGACCAACGACAACCTGAGGGACCTCTTGGACGAGTCCCCCGTATGGAGGGACATCATTAAAAAGAGGTAGGGCAGTGCTGCGCAGTCAGGGGGGCTGAAATTTTGATTTGCACTGAAATGGTTTCACTCACATTTACCACATTTAATAAAACAATCAGTCTCTGGACGTTTTTGTCCATTTTTATCTAAAAGATCCAAAAAGTTGGATTGACAGAAAATACTGTCAATACCCTGCACAATGTTTTTCACTAAATACATTTTTCCTCTGTGATCTGTTGCTGCTCGTCCAGTCTTCTTCAGTACACTTTTGTCGGGGATCACTTCATGGTCCCTGATGACCCTCTTGGAAGAGGAGGGCCTCACCTGGATGACTTCCTGCGTTCAGAGCATAGGTAACAGACCCAAGATATCCGATCTTATCCAATCCTTTGAGAATAATTTCGCATGATGCTTCATTTTCCGTCTAAACATCTTTCAGGAGTCCAAATCCAGGAAATCACTCTTTTGCTGGTTCGGCCTCATCTTTCAGTTCCTCCAAACAGCCCCGCTCCCAAACAGAGGTCATCAACTTCCGTGACCGAACGCTAGGGGGCGCACTGGACGCTTTGGGAGCAGGCGGTAGGGGTAGAGGGAGGGGGCAAGGTAAGGGATGGGACATGGGACAGAAGCAGAAGCAGTATGGTGCTACAGGTCATGGCCAGGGGGTCCGGGCCGAGAGGAGCCCTGACGAAACAGCCAACCTGAGAGAGCAGCTCTGTCAGGTTTTCCCTAATCAGGACAACATGGTGACGCTGGTGCTGCAGTGCCACTCGGCAGAGACGGACATCAACGTGCTGTCTGATCTGATTTTGGAGCAGCAATCAACAAACTAGAAATCTCTCAGTTTTAGCATTTCACCATAGTTTTCTCACAGAGTTGTTATTCATTTTCTCGTGTGACTATAGACT